TTGCCGCGTCTCCCAGGTCGTATCAAGCTGGGCCCAGACTTCAACGACTCCATCGGCGTGGATTTGTCCACCCTCGCCGACCACGCAGGGAACCAGCTGATCTTCCTGAACGTGGTGGTCCTGCCATCAGGATTTACGATGTGTGGGGCCGTGGAGTCGACATCCTTCGGTCGTATTTGCTCGATTGCTTCAGATCTGGATCACGTCCATTTAGCGCTCCTCAACGCGTGCAAGTCGACGGAGGAGGTGAATTCGAGCGCGAATCCTCAAAAGGAGCTTGAGGACATGGGCTGTCGCTTGATGACCGCAGCGGCGGCCGCCCCGCAGCAGACCGCCACCGTGGAGAGTCGCGGAGGCCCGTGGAAGGTCCATGCCAGGAAGTTGATCGACCAGTTCAGCAGCAGGTTCGACCAGCCCGTGAATTCCTACGAGATCCAGCGGCTGCTGGCGTCGGCGTGCTGGGCCATGAACAGCCGAGCAAACGCCGGCGGCTGCTCGCAGGCGCAGTGGGCCCTTGGACGCGAACTGCGCCTGCCCTACTGCTTGCTGGACAATGCTGGGCGCCTCTCGTTGCATGGGCGCTTCGTGTCCGACGAGCCGTTCCCCGTGAGGATTGCGATCGTGGAGGCCGCCCAGGGGCCCGCCAGCGCCTGAGGTTCAATCGGTCCTTCTCTCGCGAGCTTCTTGTCCGATCAAGGGCAGATGGCGCCCGGCGCGCGTCGGGCACCTACCGGGCGGGCGGCCAGGTGTGCCGCCAGGGGGGGAGCGGCGAGCCGAAGCGAGAATGGGCGCGACAGTGGCGTTGGCCAGGATTAATCGTTGGCTTTCAGGGGGCCGCGAATGTCCGGGCAAGCCACAGGTCTACGACGGCGAAGATCAACCGCGGGCACCTACGCCGTGCAACGGCCACGGAGCTCGCGCCTTGGTCAGGTGCTGTCCGCGCTCACCCCCGGAGGCGCGGATCACCGCTAGGCGGCCCGCCAGGAGGGCGCGCCAGGCGCGCCCCTGGACCTCGCGGCCCCAGGAGCGAAGCGACCGCGTCCAGATGGCGCCGTGCTTGCTGTGCCACAGGCACCTCCTGCCATCGTCGCGCGCAACGTCGGCAACGTCGAAGATGCGCCGCATTACGGCTCACGACTACTTCGGCGCCGTCAAGGAGACGAACAAAGCGCGACGAGTGGGGGGGCTGCCAGCAGCGGGTTGGCACCGGCACCTTCGGGAGGAGACCGTGTGCCGGCGCTATCTGCGCTGGCGCTTCCAGCGCCCGCGGCGCCCGCCCCGCGCGAGCGCGACTCAGGCGCTGCCGTGCAACCAACTGATGCGCCGGCACCGCCGCCAGCTCAGCCGCGCGAGGCTGAGCCCGCTCAACCCGAGCAGGAGCAGCCCTAGCAGCCAGCTGGAGGCGGGCCTGCCGATCCCGAGCAGCCCCAGCAGCCAGCTGGAGGCGAACCAGCCGAGCCTGAGGCAACGCCCAGTCGGACGGCTCCTCCGCCTCCGAGATGATCTGGGAATGGGCGAGGATCGCGGAGGAGATCGACGCTGCCGAATATCGCCGAGAGGCTGCTGCAGGACGACCCCAATCATCGGATGAGCAGCGAGGGGCCATGGGCCAGAGCTGCAGGTGCCCTGCAGCGAGATCGTCTCGATGACAGGCGTGTCCAGTCGGCTAAGCGGCAGTCCCTGCTCGTTGACCTGCCATCCGGTTGCAAACGCCCGAAGGGCACGAATTTCATAGGTTTTTACCTCGGCAGCTACTTCAGGAGCCGCGACGACGAGATGGAGGCCCAAGTGCAGCTATGCGAGGTGCTGCTGATCAGAAAGGCCGCAGCCAAGGAGCTTCGCTGCGACAGCCTGAGTCACAAGGAGAAAAAGTTCATGAACACGGCCACGAGGTTGGAGTGGTCCAAGTGGACCGACGGCGCCTGCAAGAAGCTGCCCGCCAAGAGGTGCGCGCGCTTCTGCGGCGCCACCCTGGCATGCGCCCCGCGGGCGCGCGCTGGGCTCTCACGAGCAAGGGCTGTGGCCGCGTGCTGGCGGGGCTCGTTTTCCAGGGGTGCCGGGAGGACAAGTCGCAGATCAGGGCCGATGCGCCGATAGGTTCCCGCGACGCCCTGTGCCTCGCGCTGGCAGCTGCTGCCCAGGCTGGATGTGTCTTGACCTCCTACGACGCCATGGCGGTCTACCTCCAGTCGGGCAATATTGAGAGGGCGCTGCTCCCGCGGGTGCTGGCCAAGAGCCCGCCGCCGGGTGCGCGGCCGGGCGAGATCGTGATGGCCGCAGGCGCCATGCGTGGCGCGCGAGGCGCGGGGCGTCAGTGGTACGTCAACGCCCAGAAAGAGTTCCGCGAGCGCGGCGTAGCGGAGAACAAGCTCGAGAAGGGCCTCTATTATTATTTACTACGACGAGAAGGGGCTCGCCGCCGTGATTCGCTCGCACGTGGATGACTTCCTGATTGCTCAGCGTGGTGGCCCGAACTCATGGAAGGCCACGGTCGCTCTCTGGAGAAGAAGCTCCACCTCAAGGAGGTCGAGGGCATCTTCGAGTACTGCGGCCGCTCGATCGACCAAACCGCGGACGAGCACAGGGTGGCTCAGACGACGGCGCCCTCGCAGGTAGACTACGCCGAGACCGACTCTAAGAAGCGGTCGCCCGAGGATCGCCTCACGCCAGCCGAGGTGTCGAGCTGCAGACGCACGCTCGGGCAGCTGCCTTGGTTTGCAGTTCAGCCCCGAGTGGACGTCGCCTGCCCGGTGAGCTTCGCCGCTCGCCGCGCCGGCGTCGCTGCCGTGGCCGACGCCGAGGCGCTCGACGAGACCGTCGTCGCCTACGTGCGCTCGACGGCCAGCTTCGCCATCGCGATCAGGCGCAACATGGCGGACCTGAAGACCTGCGCGGCGGTCAGTTTCAGCCGCGCTGCCTTCGCCATCGTGGGCGGCGTTATGAGCCAGTGGGGCATGGCGATGGGCCTTGCCCACCGACCGCGTGACGTCGCGGGTGGCCGCTGCGACCTCTGCTTGCACGTGGCCTGGCATTCGGGCGCGGTCAAAAGGTCGGTGAAGTCGCCCCTGGCAGCAGAGGGTTACGCGGCGCTCGAGGGCGCGGTGATCAACGCGTTGTTCCGCCAGCTGCTCGCCGAGCCCTACAAACCCCAGAAGCCGCCGAAGGACATCGACGTGCTCAGCGGGGAGCTCCCGGGCGAGATCTGCAGCGACAGCAAGGGCCTCGTCGCGCACGTCAGGTCGGACGTGGGCCAGTCCTCGGCCAAGCGGTTCAGGATCGTCGCCTCAATGATCAAGGAGGCCGTGCACCCGAACAGCGCCTTCCTTCTCGCGTGGAGATCCCGTCTTGGGCCATGGTCGCGGACGCCCTCGCCAAGGCAATGGGCGCTGTGGTGCGACTGCGCGCGGAAGCCTGCTCAGTCGCTCAAAGGTTCCAGGCTCGCCGTCCTGCGCGTGCCCCGAGGAGGAGGAGGCCCGGGGTCACCCGCGGGTGCGCGAACCGCGCTTTTTGCACGTCGCGGCCCGGGCTTCGAGCGGCCGCCCCTCTCCAAGGGGGCGGCTCGAGGGCGCGATGGCCTCAGACATGCGGCGCCTTGGCTTTTTCAGTGCGGGGCCCCCGGGAAGTCCCAAACCATTCCTGCAGAGCCGGCTCTTCCTTCTCGAGCCGTTTTTTTTAGACGGTCCCGGGTTGTCTGGGTCGCGGCGAGCATATTTGGAGCGCGGACTTCACGGCGCGTCGCGCCCCGCTGGGCGCGACCAGGAACCTCGGCTTGGCCGTGCGCCTACTTCAGCGCCCCGATCTCCTCCTTCTCCTGCTCCTGCTCCTGCTCCTCCTGCTCTTCCTGCTCCTCCTCGTCCTCTTTCTCCTCGCTCCTCCTCTTTCTTCTCCTCCTCTTCCTCCTCTTCCACTTCCTCGCTCATCCATTTTTGCATGCAAGGAATTCCCCAGTGTCGCACCGCAAGACGTGTCGGTAGGGCGGGCACGGCGTTTCGCCTGAGACGTCCTCACCGTTTATGATTCAGCATCCCACAATTTGCCAAACTCACACGGATGGATGGCGGGTCGTTTTCAACATGTGATTCTCGCCGAGAGTTTTCATGATGGAGGATGGGCCGTTTTCAAAATGTGGTTCTTGCTTTTGCGCCGCGAGTATTCGTCTGACAAGGAGGGCGGGCAGATTTTAGAAAATGGTTCTCGCTTTAGCGCCGCGCACATTCTTTTTAACTGTTTGCAGAAGTGCATCGGATGTGGGGCGGTTCCTTTTCCAAAGTGGCTCTTGTTGTAGCGCAGTGATCATTTTTTGAAGGAGTTGGCAAGAGTTTCGCGAATTGAAGGCGGGCCGTTTTCAAGATGTGTCTCGCTTCACCGCCGCGCACTTTCTTTATAATTGTTTGCCGGAGTTTTACGAATGGAAGGCGGGTTGTTTTCAAAGTGCGTTTCTCGCTTGAACACCGCGCACATTTGTCTTACAAGTTCTCAAGGTTGTAACGGGTTCTTATGGATGACGTCCCAGAAATCGTGTCCCGCACGATGTAGGATTGTCAGGGCGCAACAGTCATGTTGATTCGCGGTGTTGGAGTCCTAGGAATTGTATTCTGGCGCGATGCAGGATCGCCCGGACGAATGGGGTACTTCCAGCAGTGAAAGCGACTGTTGTAGGAACCTGCGAGCACGGAACTGGGAGGGAGGATTTGTCGCAACATCATTGGTGGGCCTTGGGATTGCACTGGTCCTCCTCCTCCTCCTCCTCCTCTTCCTCTTCCTCTTCCTCATCCTTCCTGCTGGTCCTCCTCCTTCCTGCTGTTCCTCCTGCTCCTCCTTCTCCTCCTCCTCTTTCTCCTCCTCCTCCTCTTCCTCCTTTTCTCTTCCTCCTCCTCCTCCTCTTCCTCCTCCTCCTCCTCATTTTCATTTTCCTTTTCCTCCTCCTCCTCCTCCTTCCTGCTCCTAGATCGTCGTTCGCTCGCCCACGCCAGACCTCGCCCTCGCCGCTGTCCCGAGAGGCCTCCCTGCTGTGGATCGGGGAGGGGGCGATGCGCGGACCTGCCTGGCAGAAGGAGCGCCGCGCTGGGAGGGGGGTGCCTTCAGAGGCCTCGGGGGGCCTCTCCGCTGTTTGTGGGGGGAGGCCTCCCACCTGTGGGCCACGTGGGGCCGGAAGATCTCAGGCCGCCCCGCGCCCCGCCTGCCCACTGGCGGCGCTGGGGCGGAAAGGATCGGACTTCCGATCGGGCTGCGGCGCAGGTGCGCGCGTGCGCGATAGTCGGCCAGTCGCCCTGCTCCGTCCCCAGCCACGCCCGCGCCACCAGGAAAAGAAATCCGACAGGGGGTTTCTGACCGCCGTCAGCCTCGTGGGGCCCTCGTCGGGCCTGGGGGCCGGCAACAAAACGACTCGGGATGCGGAGACGCTGGCCCGTGGGAACGGTTCGTGACTTCGGGGGGCCTCGTGTGGCAAATCAAGGTATGGCATGTTTGGGTCGGCCGGCGCTCGATGGCAGTCTCTTCATGCCGATCTGTCTTCTTTTTGATTGGAGGACTCGGTCAGGCTTTCGACCAGTGCGACCTTTCACGCCGTAGGGCGTGATAGATCTGGGCTGTATCTGGATCGAGATCGGGCGTCGGATCGTCGTAGACCTGCGGGTGAGCCTCTTCTTGTTCTTTGTTTAAAGTCATTTTTTTGTACTTCGCTATGTTTGTGCCTTGAGTCAGTTGTGCACGACGCGACGGCCAAATTACACAAGGCGGGGAACAGGTTTTCGCTGGCGTGCGATGATTCTACCCCGCTTGCCAAATCTCGATAGAGCACCGATGGCACTTAGTGGTTCACCAACGGCGCCGTCGCCAAAGCAGAGATCACCAGTTTCAACATTTCGCATCCAGGGCATTTTGAGACGGCACTGTCGTCAAATACTAGCTTGCGGCAGCCCGAGATCTGACAGTAGGGACGGCGGAGGGCGGACATGCGAACCAACTCTTCATGTCGATGTTGGTCGGCGTTGGTGGTCTTGCAGGAGCGAGTGTCAGTAACCCTCCTCTGCGAGCTAAGAGGGAGAAGGACGAACAGCTCCAAGAGGGTTCGCAGGCTCAGGATGCTCCCACTTGAATGGAGGCCAGTCAGGGAGGGAGCTGATTCAGTTTCAATAGAAGATGCACCGAGGCAATTGTTTTTTTCCTGCCATGCCATATCGGAGACGCCAGGGGACAATAGGTGACGCACCACAGGAAGGCTTGCTCAGGACGAGGCAGCAACCAGCTGCTTGCGGCACGTCCCTCCGCTGTGCCAGCGCGCCCCTGGTGGGACTTTTCGAGCACCGGTGGCCGTAACGTGTCACACCTCTATTTGTGGAGGGGCTTTCGTGGGGGGGACCGTCTGGGGTCTGGGGGGCCAGCAGGGACCTCAAACGGCCTTGCGCCCCCAATGGGGGCCAGCGAGCATGTTGCCGCCACGACGGACCTGCGCCGCATGTATCACAAAAACAGCCAGTAGAAGCATCGCTGGGCGACTACGGCAAATCTGCTTAATCATAGGTCGCACTCATGAGATTGCAGCCGTGGGTGTCGCATGCTTCGCATCCTTCACTTGCATGCAGAAGTCGTATGACGAACTTTGCTGTTTGCAAGTTTGTGATCCTTTTTCGGTGGGTCACTGAGGAGTGATAGGATCGCACACTCACATGTGGAAGGAGGATGGGAAAGAGGAGGAGGAGGCGAGGAAGGGCGAAGGGGGAGATGATGATCCTGATACTGATGATGGCGATGATGATATGATGATATGATGATGATGATGATGATGATGATGATGATGATGATGATGATGATGATGCTGATGATGATGATGGTGGTGATGATGATGATAAAACGATTATTAGGATGATGATGATGACGAGGAGGACGAGGAGGATAAGGACGAGGATGAGGATGATGATGTCGATGATGATGCTGCTGATGATATTGATGATGATTATGGTGACGCTGCTGCTGATGATGATGATGCTGATTCTGCTTATGTTGCTGCAGATGCTGATGCTGCTGCTAATGATGACGATGATGCCGATGATGGTGATGATGATGCTGATGGTGATGCTGATGAGGATACTGATGATGATGCTGATGGGGATGCTGCTGCTGATGATGAGGATGATGACGATGGTGACGGTGACGATGATGGTGCTGCTGCTGATGATGATGATAATCCTGATGATGATGCGGGTGATGATGATGCTGATGATGATGATGAGGATGGGGAGGAGGATGAGGATGAGGATGATGCTAATGATGACGATGACGATGATGATGATGACGATCATGATGCTGATGGTGATGATGATGATGATGATGATGCTGAAGCTGATGGTGATGATGATGGTGGTGGTGGTGGTGATGATGATGCTGCTGTTGATGATGATGCGGATGATGATGATGATGATGATGATGATGATGATGATGATGATGCTGATGATGATGATGCTGCTGCTGATGATGATGATTCAGCTGATGACGATACTGATGCTGCTGCTGCTGCTGATGATGATGATGATGATGACGATTGCGACGGTGATGATGATGCTGATGAGGATGCTGATGAGTAGGAGGATGCTGATGATGGTGCTGATGATGGTGCTGCTGATGATGATGATGCTGATGATGATGATGGTGATGCTGATGATGATGATGCTGATGCTGATGCTGATGCTGATGCTGATGCTGATGCTGATGCTGATGCTGCTGATGATGATGATGATGATGGTGATGATGATGATGATGATGATGATGATGATGATGATGATGATGATGATGCAGATGATGCTGCTGCTGATGATTGATGGTGGTGGTGGTGGTGGTGGTGAATGAGATGATGATGCTGATGGTGGTGGTGATGATAATGGTGCTGCTGATGATAATTCTGATGATTATGATGTCAGCACAGCGGCTATGATAGTAGAAGGAAGTGATCTGCAGCTTTCTCTGGCCGGGCTGGCCCAGCGCTGCGCGCCAGGCGCGCCCGCGGTTGATGTGTGTGTGTGGGGCCCGCGGCCAGAGCACAGGCACTCCACGAGCTTGCCTTGGATTCGAGGCCAACTCAAGGGCCACTCTCAGCGGCGAGGAGGCCGCGCAGGAGGCGGCGGAGGACCCAGAGGGGGCGGCAGGTGCCGAACCTGTGGTTCGGGCCGCCCCTGCCGCTAGCAGCCACTGCTACGCAATCTGGGCCGCCCCGGGTTCAAGCGAGGACTTCGTCGGGGTGCATAGAGGAGGCGCGGTCGCGTGGCAGGCGATCGTCGCAAGACTCGGGGGCGGCAAGTACACTAGCGGGCGGGGTCGCCTGCGTCGGTTCCCGTCGTTGCGCGAGGCAAATCCACAGGTTCTTCGACGAGCAGCGGGGCTACTCATACACTTTCAAGGTCTTCGATTGGACCAGGGCACAACGACGACGTTGCCATCAGGGGTGCCGCAGCAGACAGGGGACGTCCTGCTTCGTTCGTGGCTGGTCGAGCTGCCTATAGCCGGGGCCCGAGCCGCCAGCGCGGCAGCGAGGCGCGAGGCCCGCGTCGTCGGCGCCAAGTTCGTGAGGCTCGATCGCCCCGTCGCCGTCGACGCCCTAACCTGGGACGACCTCAGCGACCTCGAGCTGGAGGCGCTCCTCATCGGAGTGCCCGCTGTCTGCCCTCATTGCGACGCTGGCTCGCTCGCATCCGTGGACTATGTCTCGGCGACGCTGCGGTCGGCCCTCGGCAAGGGGATGCCGGCGGGCGTGGCCTGCGTGAAGGTGTCGCCGGCGCTCCTGGCGCGACTCGCCGATAGCTGCGCGGAGGACACGGTGATCGAGTTCTTCGACTCAGCTGGCGGGTCTGCTCGGCCAGACCTTCTCGAGCTGGCCGATCTCGCCCCGCGGCCCGACGACTGGAACGCTGGGGTCCTGCTCCGACCCTTCGCGTTCCCCGACCCGGCCCCCCGTGGCGACCCCGGGCGCGTCGGCTTTCACCGACGGGCAGATCGACGGGGGGAGTGACCTCGCCGCCGACGAGCGCGATGGCGAGGGCATGGAAAACGACGGGGTCGACGCAGCCTGCGAGGCTGCCGCGCAGGCGTGGGCGCTTCGGCCGCGCGGCGCCTGCGTGGCGGGCCGTCTGGACGCGGAGGGAGAGGGGCTCCCGGCGGGTCCGGGGGGCCCAAGGCTCCGCCCGCCAGGCGCCCCCCCACCGCGGAAAGGCCCGCGACCGCCGCCCCCCCCGCTGCAGGTGGGAGCGCAGGGCGCGCGGCGAGGCAAGGGCCTGCGGCGAGCGGCGCCAGGAGGGCCGCAACCCCGCGGCGCATCAACGTGTCGCATTACGATCTGCAGAGCGCCCTCGGGAGCTTCGAGCAGGACCTGCTGAAAGCGTCGGCGGCGAATTGAGGGGCTTCTCGAGCCGAGTCGTGCAGGTCGAGAAGAGAAGCATGGAGGCCCGTGGCCTCGCTTCTGCGGCCCCCCCCCGCCGCTCTGGGTCGCTCTTCCAGGCTGGGCCCTCCGCGAGTGCGCCGGCGCCTGCCCCCTTGTCCCGAGCAGATCCCCATTCCAGAGCTCGCCCGCGGCGCAGCTCAGGACAACGGCTCAGCTTCTGGGGGCGCGGCCCGCCCCGGCGCCTCCCCAGTCCAGGGTTGCAGAGGAGGCCCTGGCGACGTCGCGGGGGCTGCTTCAGTGGGCCGCTGGCCCCGCGCGAGCAGGGCAGCCGCGGGGCCCGGAGAGGAGGGCCGACCCGACCTCGGGGCCCTCGTCGAGGCAGGCGGCCGCCACGCAGACGAGGCCATCCAGCTTGCCACGCCGCAGGCACTGGAGAAGGTCGGCGGCTCCAAGAAGCGAAGGGCGACGAGCCCGACCTGGGCGACCTCCTCTTCGGGGGCGCAGCCTCGAGCTCCGGAAAGGCGGACCCAGTGGCCAGGATCAACGGTGCCAAGGGGGCAGCAGGGCTCCTGGCGCCCAGCGGGGCCATCGAGCGCGAACCCCAAAAGTAGTCTGCCCACGTCGACGCCGTTGCCTTCGCCGAGCTCGGCTGCTACAGCGCACGCGCGCCGTGGAGCATGACGCCGAGGATCAGGTTCGGACGCCTTGAGGACCGCCGCGCGCTGCACAGGTCGCAGCAGCGCGACCTTTCGGTGCCTGGATCGGCCAGTTTCTGAAGGCCACGCAGCAGTCAGTGAATGCGAGCTGCTCCTGAAGGCTGGCTTGGCTGATCACAGGGCTCCCAGGCCCTTGGCCTAGAGAGGGTCAGGCGGCGAGAGGCCTCGCGCGCCCCGGGGAGTTCGCAGCCTTGGTCGCTCACTTGCGGGTGACAGATGCAGTCGAGAGCGCCCTCAAGAGAGGAGGCTGGGATTCCGCCAGGGACCGCGCTGGCAAGGGCCGCGTCTGGGACAAGAAATGGGGAAAAATTGACGACCATCAAGAAAGAGCAGGACGGTGGCGACGGTGGCGGGACGGTGGCGGGGGAGGCGAGCGATCGTCCCCATCGTTGGGTTTCCCAGCGCTCGGCTGAGCTTCGTATGTGTGGTCGTTGGCTACGCGGAGGAGGACCAGGAGAAATATGGTTACGATGAGAGGAGGATCAAGGAATGTACATACGGTGAGGAAGGCGGCGGGGCTACGATGCGCGAGTGCTCGATGGTTCTTGGTGTTGCAAGCGGACCGCTGCTGTTTTCGGCTCCGGCCCCACCAAGGGGAGGCGACCGCGCAAAGTCCGTGCACGTAGCGCACGGTGGTCGGTTTGCAACGCCCCCGCCCTTCAGCGCGCCTGTCCAGTCGAGTGTGTGTGTGGGTGGGGGGTGCGAGAGGCACTGGGCACGGCAAGCTTTTGTGATAGCGCGTTGCACCGCCGGTTCTGGCCCACTGCGCTTCGGCGCTACATGCCATCCACTTCCCAGTCCCCAAGCCTTCACTTCCTGAGCCTTTTCCGAGCCCCCCGCACTGCTGAGCGGAGCGACGCGCTATCCGCTTGCAGGGCATAGCGTGCCGACAGGGCCGCCGCGGCGACACGCTCCCCCCCCCCTTTCCTCCTTTTCCTCCTCCTCCTCCTCCTCCTCCTCCTTCTCCTCCTCCTGCGTCTTGAAAAAGCACCGCAAAGCTTGCCCTTGTGCGATCCGGCAAGCCTGCACCGTGGCCCGGGTGCCACAGCGCCCTCTGCCCGTTGCAGCCTCGCGGAGTGCCGCAGGGCCATCCTCTGCCACGCTGCGCTGCATGGGCGTCCCCAGACATCCGATACCTTGTTTTCTTTCCCCCACAATTTTCCTCGTCCTCCTCCTCTTGCTGTTGCTCCTCCTCCTCCTCCTGCTGCTGTTGCTCCTCCTCCTCCTCCTCCGTCCCCATCGTGCCATCGAGTTCGGGAGAGAAGGGGGGCGGGGACGTGTCGCGGCCCTGGGGTCGCCCGTCGCCGCCCCCGGGTGCAAAAAAGGCGCCCCGGTCCTCATCATCTCGGACCCGTTCTTCATCCCAGGTACCTTTTTTAACGGCCCCAGGGCCCGGCGAGTGCCCCCGGCGGCCGACAACGACCAAGAGCCTCCCGCCATGATCTTGGTTGTCATGGCGCGAGCACACCTGGGATCGGTCTCTGGTGTCATCGATCTTTTTGGCCGCCCCGCCGCGGACGCGCGTGCTGCGCACCGTGCCGCCCGTCGGCAGCGAGCGAGGGGGGGGGGAAGTGAGAGGGAGGAGGCCTTCTCAGAGGGTGGCGGTGCTTCTCAGAAATCCTCGCGCCTTCTGAGAGGTCCCTGTCTTCGGGCAAGGCTTCGACAACTTCCCAGGCTGCTGGAGGCCTTCCGAGCCTTCTGCGAAGGCCCGCCCCCGCAAAAAGGCTCGCCGACGACCTGGGCCGCGCTCGCAGAAGTGCGTCGCCTGGTGCAGCGGGGGCCGACCCACGGCAGCCCTGCGGACCACCCCTCCCGAAGAGACCTTTTCTGCTGCCGCGGCGGCCCCGCCCGCTTGCGGAGGAGGAGGAGGAGGAGGAGGAGGAGGAGGAGGAGGAGGAGGAGGAGGAGGAGGAGGAGGAGGAGGAGGAGGAGGAGGAGGAGGAGGGGCTGCCCGCGAGCGCCTCCCGAGTGCCGCTCGTGCCCCCCCCCTCGGGCGCGCCGCGGAGCCCCCGCCCCCGCCCTCGCCCCCCGGTCCTCCGGGGCCCGCGCGGCCGCCGCCGCGCGGGCCCCGCGCCCGCCTCCCGGGCTCCTCCGCCGCGGGCGCCCTCTCCACGGCGGCGCCGGCGCCATGCTGCCGGCCCGGGCCCCGGCCGGCTCCCGTCGAGGAGGATCGGCCACGCGCAGAGGTGGGTGTGGGTCGGGCCGGACGAGAGGGGGGGATGGGGAAAGGGGGGGGTACGAAATCTGCTGCATGCAGCCGGTTTTTTGGCCCCGCCGAGGGGCCCAGTCCTCGAGACATGGCCGCCTCCGGCGCCGGGAGGCGCCAGGAAAATCAGCTACGTGGGCTGATTCTCAAACCTCTCCTTGCTATCCCCCCCTTTCGCTCGGCCCGAGGTATGGGGGAGGGGGGAAACCTTCTTAGAAGCACCCCTGCTTCTTAGAAGGCGCGGGCCTTCTCTATACAGGTAAGGCCGGCACCTTCTAAGGAGCAGCCCCCTTCTAAGAAGCCGTCCCCCTCCCCCTGCCCTCAAGTCGGGCACGTCCCTCTACAGGAGGAAGATTCAACAATAGTGAAAAATAGTCAGGGGACGCTCTTCGAGTTTTTTGTTTTTTGGAGCATTTTTGAGCATTTGTTTCGCTATTTCTTATTACCCCCCGCTGCGCGCCGCCAAGAAGAGACAGCTGCGTGCAGCCGGGACGCTGGAAGGAGGAGCAGTTCGGGCTCGGAGGTGGTCCGCGGTTCCTCGGGTCCTTCCGGGGTGGTCCCTTTGGTCCTCCGCGTGCACGCAGGCGCTTTTGGGGCCAGAAAGGGCTACGTTCCTCATGAATCGCTTCTTGTGTCAGCAGCCCGACTGTACAGTGAGGGCATTTCAGGGGCAACGAGATGGTGGGATGGGCATCGGAGGGGATGCGTCGACTCCCAATCGCCCATTGATCGCCGATGGGGGTCTGATAGCCCCACCTCGCCCAGGAACGTCTGGATTCGCTATCGGGGTCCTTTCTTCGATCTATCCGTGATGTATCGCCGATTCCAGGTCGGTATTTCCCCGCCTGCGCCTATGCCAGTCCCCCCCCTATCGTTGCTCCTCAGCATTTTTCTTTCCGCGTGCCCAACCTAGGTCAAGCACTTGCATGCACAGGAAAACGAATTCAAGGACTGCTCTCTCGTGCTGCGATGGCGGCAGGGTCTGAAAATTGGTGGAGCACCAATGGAGGCTTGACCACGGACATCACAGCCGCCCTCATCAGATAAGGAATCAACCAGGGTCTGAAGCCTCGTGGGCACACTCCTTGACGACCGCCCTCAGCGTATATAACCACAAGCTTTCGGAGTTTCGTGCGGATTTCTTGGATTGGCGCTGGCCCCCCCTGGCGGCGCATCCTCGCCGGGGAGGTGGATCCAGTGCCGATCCAAGAAATCCGCGCGGAGCTCCGTATGTTTATGCCGTTCTCGTGCTCCTGTTCCAGCACCCGTTCGCCTGCCGCCCCGCCTGCCGCCCCAGCCGACTGGTCGGCATGACCCAAACATGTTTACGCCGTGTGCGCGCCGGCGCGCCAGCCTCCAGAAGGCGACGCGCGCGCTCAGAAGTCTTGTAGTGCAAATGCTCGGTGGTGGACGCTTTCTGGCCAGGCCGCCTGCGTAACGACATACTGGAATATGCTCGTGTTATGTGCTCGGCCTGTTCTCATGGAGCGCATTCCACGCCAACTCGGAAGACGCGAGGGCTTTTAAGGAATCATTTTGCAGAGGATCTCGATGTTATGCAAGCTTTTGCTCTCCAGAAGAATGGCGCAAAGGCCTTTCCAGCAATGCACCACTGTCAGCAGGAGTTCCATTCTTGGGGCCGGAAGGTGCCTCCCGCACAGGGCGCCCCAGGGAAGGGCATCGCCCCCCTTGTCGCATCCTCGCCCTTGGCGGAGGGCCCGCCGAAGCCAAAAACGGCGGACGGGGGACGCGGTGGGGGGAGGCGTCCGTGCCCCCGCCCCGCCTCCGCGCACCTCCACCTCTGCAGGGGCGGCCTCGGGGGAGGGCCCGCCGAAGCCAAAACGGTGGACGGGGGACGCGCTGGGGGGAGGCGTCCGTGCTCCGGCCCCGCCTCCGCGCACCTCCACCTCTGCAGGGGCGGCACTGTGGAGCGGCACTGAGCTGCGCCGCGCAGTCGCTGCGGTCGCTCGTGTGCCCCGTGCCCCCGCTGAGACTTCCTTGGACCTCGGGGGTAGCGCTCCAAGAAGAAGCAAGCTCGCAGCTGGCGACGGCGGCGGAAGGTGGCGGAGTCAGAAGTGAGGTGCCAGCATTTTGGAGCCCTGGGGCTCTGGAATCGGAAGCGTGCCGAGGAACCCGAAGCTGCGTAGGTACGGGTTTCGGGGTCGCGCGGGATTTCTCTGGTCGGCGCTGCACCCACCCAGGTGGTGCCCCAGGCGCCATCTCGAGGATTCTGCATAGGCCTCGGAACGTTTATCTGATGTCTTCCCTAGAGCTGCGAATTCGCTCCGTGGACCCCCAGAGGTCTGAACTCCTTTCCGGTAATGGCCCCCAAAGGCAGAAGACTGCCCAAAACCGTCAGTCGTGAGCTTGTCACGACGAGACGAGGTGAGGCTTGTTGCCTATAACATGTGTCTGCAGTCGGCATTACCAAGACATACCTCTACTGTGTGTGCGTTGGTCTCCCCCCAGGGGCGACGGACCGCCTGGGGTGACGAAATGCTGCACGACAGTTGTACTCTATGACCTGGCTGGACGCACGCCGCCAATGATGACACGTATCACTACGGTGGGGGCGTTCGGTAAGGAATGCGCCCAGGGGGCTTCAGACCCCGGAGGTTTCCTCATCTGATGAGGGTGGCGGCGATATCCATGGACACTCCACGATTCGTGTTCCATCCGGCTTCCAGACCCTCCATTCCTCATGTATCTAAGGGTTCCTTCTCCGATGCCCTTACCGTAGTACAGCCAAGCCGCTGAAATGAGGAGCAGTTCGGATTCGGAAGGGGCTCGCTGTTCCTTAGGTCTTTCCGGGGTTGTTCCTCTAGCCCTCCTCGTGCACCGAGGCACGTTGGTGCCAAAAAAGGGTTTCCGTTCCTTACTATTCAGCGTTTCTTTTTTCAGCAGCCCGACTGTAGGTCCTTCTGTGCCCCATGCAGGGCCGAGCTCCTCTCCACCAGGGCGCGCGCGCGGTCAGAGCCGCTCGGCGGACGTCTTGGCCCAGCCTTGCCCGGAAGCGCCAGCCGTTTCTCGGGGAGCAGGGGCGCCGCATGCTCACGAGCTTCCGTGCCCCTCCCTGTCCGGCTCCCGGTCGAGGGGCGACGTCTCGTTCCCGGACAGGGTCCCAGACGGTGCTCGCGAAATGGTCGAGGATCGATTGTCGACCTTCTGTTTTTTGCGCCCTCTTCGGGCCTCCAAGACGCTCCTCGTCGCCACGGTTGGATCCGCCCTGAAGTGCTGGCCAGAACGCACTCCGGAACAGGTCCAGGGATCAGTTGGGGTCCCAGGCCCAGCGACGCCAGCGACGCCAACGAGGAGCAAAACGGGCCCCACATCGAGCCGCATCGGCGATGCATCGGCGATGCAGCGCGATCCTCCGACCCAATCTACTCGGATCTTACCTGGGAGGCCTACATCCAGCAGACACCTCAAGAACAAACATACACTTTCACGGACTTCAGATTTCGCTTAAGAGGATCAAGGCAAGAATCTGGACTGGACCCTGGGCGTCTTCTTGGAGCTTCTCTTGCGTCGTAGAATGCTCGCATCTGCGGACCTGGGCTGCTGTGTCAGGAAGCGCTCCGAGTGGAGTTCAGCAGCTTAAGCTGAACCTCTCTCAGCCCTCCACGGGAGTGTAGACTCCGTCTCTCTGGGCAGCACGGAGCCCATGCCTGCCCGCGTCGACGCGCCAGCTCCCCTGCGGGAGGGCTTCCGCCGCCCGTGGCCCCGGGTAGGGGGCCCTCGCCAGCCCCCCCCCCCCCCCGGGGGCCGTCCCAGGAGCGGCTCGGGCAGGAACGCTGGTCCCGGGGGGACGGGCCCGGGCCTCCGAGCGGTCCGACGTCGCGGACGAGAGTCACGACGTCGGGGGTCCGGTCGAGGATCCTCGGGACGGGTGTGAGCCCCGGGTGTGTGTTTATCCCCTCCAGCCCAACCAGCAGATCGTTGCGTCGCCTGCGTCGTGTCGACGGTCCTCGATGGACAAGCACACGTTGGGGCCAGCGCGCGTTCTGAGGATCACCGATCCGGGGAGCGGGAACGCTAGGGGGGATTGGCTCAGAAGAAGGCATCGGGATGGAAAGCAGCTCCTGGGGAACGGGGTCCAGCCCTCTGATTTGGTCCACGTCGCGGAGAACATCACGGCGTCGGGGGTCTGGGGAGGGGGAGCGTAAGGGGGGTGGGGTTGGCTCAGGAGAAGGCAAAACATCGGACATCTGGGTCTGGCAGGCCGGCTTGATCGTGATGCCCGCACCGAGGCCACGATTGCGGTCACCGCGGCCTGCTCCTTCGTGGCCGGCTTCAGCCACTCGCTGTGTGGGCTGGGGGGCTCGGTGCTCTTCACGATCGGCTGGTCGTTGTCGAGCGAGTTCGGCCTGGTGCCTCGAGGCACTCAAGGGCGACATAAAAGGGGGCAGACGTCGTCCTCCTCCTCCCCCGTCCTCCTCCTCCTCCTCCCTCCTCCCTCCTCCCTCCTCCCTCCTCCCTCCTCCCTCCTCCCTCCTCTCTCCTCCGTCCTCCCTCCTCCGTCCTCCCTCCTCCCTCCTCCCTCCTCCCTCCAGGCCCGAGCCGTAGTCGCAGCCGTATTGCCTCATTTCGGCAGCTGCGGACTAACGGCTTGAGCCCATGCGCGCCGGCCGCCTCGCCTCGCCCTGCCCAGGCGAGTGGAGGGCTAGCCGCGCGCGACGAGGCTTCTCCGGCCGGCGCTGCTGCAGCCAGCCGAGGCCGGACCTCCGTGCCCCTGCGCGGAGGCTCGGCTACGCGGCCCGCGTCGGCCGCCGCCCGCACATGCAGGACGTCGCCGCGCTGGTCGCCGCGCTGGTTCGCCGTCCCGTTCTGCTTTCACCTGCTGTGCGGCAGCATGACGTGCCGCCAGCGGACGACCATCCACGTGTGCTACTTCGCGACCACGATGCCGGTCCTGTACATGCAGATGGTGATGCTGCGGGTGCCCAGGTGGCCGAGGCCGCATGGTGCTGGCTGCCCGGAGCGCTGCCGCCCCCGGCGCCCAGCGCGCCGATCTGGTGGCCCTCGCCGCCGCCGCCGCGGCTGACGACGCTGAGTGCCGCCGATCTGCCATTGGTCGGGCCGCCGCCGATGTGGTGGCCGACGCTGCCGCCTGTCTGCGCCACGAAAGGCGAGACGCAGGCGGACGGCGATTTCCCCGACGGCGTCGAGAAGTTGGAGTCCGCGGTCGTCGGCGCAATGCAGGCTTCAGGCACTGATGGCCGTCCTCCTGCGCACCTTCCTGCTGGAGAGGATCCAAGTCCTGCAGGTGGCGACGGTCGGGAGCAGCCGATCGTCCTCGGGTTTGGCGGCTTCCTCGTGCAGGAGGTGACGGCTGAGGCACAGGCCACCGCCGATGTCGTGTCCTTGGATGCCATGTGCCAGGCGACGGCATGCCGGAGTGCGTGGCCCAGACGCCGCGCCGCCGCTGCGCGCGGTGCCGGAGAGGGTCAGCCGCGCGTCGACGCGGCGTTCGACGAGGTGGTCGCCGAGGCCGCCGCGGATGCAGCGACGACGCCCGATGCCACAGAGGTTGCTCCTCCGGCATTCGGGATGAGCCGGCCGCCGCAGCACGCGGCCGACCGCGTGGACGAGGCCCGCGCCGCGGCTGCTGCTGCTCTTGTGCAGCTTGCTGAGAGCCAAATGGTCGCTGGTGCCCCTGAGCCTGCACCGCCTGCGTCTGCTCTGCCTCGGCCGTCGGCGATGGAGAGGCTGCCGCGGGTGCCGCGGGTGCCGCAAGCCGAGACTCTGCGAGCCGATGCTGCCTCAGAGGCTGTTCCTCCTGAGGCTGCTCCGCCCACGGCTGCTCCGCTTACGGCGATGCAGAGGGTGCAGCGCATGCAGCCTACCACGGACATCCAGGCGGCGGACGGCGCGGTCCGCCTCCTTAAGCAGCAGCTGTCCAGGGTAGAGACCGTGCTGTACTGGAGGGAGAAGGCGGCCCCATCCACCCCGCAGGTGCAGGACTTCCGGAGTCGGGCGTGCGAGCTGCGGCGCCTGGTGGATGAGGCCGTCGGGCGGCGGGCCGCGCTGGACTCTGGAGGCTCCTCCGGCGCCCCCTCTGTGCAGGCTCGGGCCACTGCTACCGCCGAGACGGCCCCGGTGCCGCAGAGGAGTGCTGCCGCCGCTGTCGGGCCCTGCTCGAACGCCAGCTACCCACCGCCCGCGGCCTTCGCCGTCCCGAGGCAGGCGGCCCGCGAGCCGTTGTGGCAACGGATTGCACCTGCAAAGTTTGCAGCCCCTAGTGGGCCACCGCCGCTGCCGGCAGTTGCGCCTCGACCAGAGGCTCCCGCACCGTCATCGGCTCCTTCGCAGCTAGAGCGTTGCTGAGCTGCGCGTGCATGCAGATATTTGCTCTGTATGATATGTAATTACGACATACTGTTTATGTCAGATCCCCTCCCTCATCGGCTAGCGCGAAGGTAATCGTCTTGTTTGCCTCCGCCGTCGTCGTTCGTCCGTGTCGCGAGGGTGTGAAGATGTCCTTCCCCCGTCCAGGTACGGTGTTCTGGCGGTTATCGACTACGGAGGCATTGCTGTCTCGTAGACGAGGGCCGGCGAGCGAGAGAGGCGAGGGACGATCGCGAGTCTGCGCCTTTGCCCCATGAGTCGCCGTCTCACGGCTCAGTCGTTGAGAGCCAGAGGATGCAAGCCTGCGTCCCAGCCTCATTACTTCGTGCTCTACACTTTCACCATCGAGTGGCCCGCTGGCGTCCCAGCTGCTGGCCTAGGAGAGGAGGAGGTGGAGGAGAGGAGGACGTTCGGAGGGGCTTGCAGGGAGTGCGTATTTCTGTAGGAGACGTGGTCTGTGTCCCAGCCTTTCCTCCTCCCTCTGCTCCCTCACATATCCCTCCCTCCCTCCCGTCCGCCTCCAGCCTTTGCGCCCGGAGGGGCCGATGTCACGACATCACGAGAGCAGGAAAGTTTCGGTATGTGTCCCAGCCTTCTCCCTAGCTCTCTTCCGCGTCACGAGAGCAGGAGGAATTCGGTATGTGTCCCAGCCCTCTTTCTCCCTCTCGTTATTCACATCATATACCCTCCCTCCCACCCCTCACCCCCCCCGATGGACGGGGCTTCTTTGTGCCGCCGCCGCCGCTGCCAGCCTCGCCGAGCATGGACTGCCCATGGCGCAGAGAGGTTGTGTTCGCCAGCATGGCCGGAGGACATGTGAGAGGATCGGGGTGGGCATGGTGGAGGGCTTTACTGACTGAACTTGCGTTCTTGGTGCCCGTGCAGATGACCCTGTCTAAGAGCCCTCTGCTAGTAGCAGCGCCGCCCTTCTCTGACCGTCGCCAGGCGAATCAGATGTGCAATCCAAAACAATCCTCCTCCCTCCTCTTCCTCCTCCTCCTCCTTGTCCTCCGCCTCCTCCTCCTTGTCCTCCTCCTCCTCCTCCTCCTTCTCTTCCTTCTCCTCCTCCTCCTCCTCCTCCTCCTCTCCCTCCTCCTCCTCCTTCTCCTCCTTCTCCTCCTCCTCCTCCCTCGTCCCTCCTCCCTCGTCCCTCCTCCCTCGTCCCTCCTCCCTCCTCCTTCTCGTCCTTCTCTTCCTCTTCCTCCTCCTCCTCCGCCTCCTGCTCTTCCTTCTCCCCCTCCTTTTCCTTTCCCTCCTCCTCCTCCTCCTCCTCCTCCTCCTCCTCCGACTGGAGCCTGTATAAAGGCCTGGACGGTTTCATCGTTTTTTTTGATAACCACTATTCTCAATTTCTAACACAGATTCCAACGAAATCAATTCAAGCTACCAGAAACATACAAGTTGATAAAAGCTAAAAGCAAGGTTTCGCCTGAGACATCAGTCAAAAAATCATCCCGGCAAAGCAACCTAACAGCGATGTGTAGAAACATATCTGAAAGCATTCCCCTTAAGATTCAGATGAAAATCCAGTTGTCGAATTCTGCTGTTCTCGCAGTCGTAGTCGCATTCGCGATGACAGTCGCAGCGGCAACGGCAGTCGCAGTCACAGCCTCAGCCTCAGCCTGCCTCAGCCTCAGCCTCAGCCTGCCTCAGCCTCAGCCTGCCTCAGCCTCAGCCTCAGCCTGCTTCAGCCTCAGCCTCAGTCTGCCTTCAGCCTCGGCCTCAGCCTCAGCCTGCCTCAGCCTCAGCCTGCATCAGCCTCAGCCTCAGCCTCAGCCTGCCTCAGCATCAGCCTGCTTCAGCCTCAGCCTCAGCCTGCCTCAGCCTCAGCCTCAGTCTGCTTCAGCCTCAGCCTCAGTCTGCCTTCAGCCTCGGCCTCAGCCTCAGCCTGCCTCAGCCTCAGCCTGCCTCGGCCGCAGCATCAGCCTGCCTCAGCATTCAAAATGTGGCCCAGGAATGGAGTTCTGGGAACTAGAAGAACACGAAGTGGCCTACAGTTGGCTCCGGGCATTCAAAATCATGCCCAGGAATGGAGTTCTGGGAACTTGAAGAGCACGAAGTGGCCTACAGTTGGCTCCGGGCATCCAAAATGTGGCCCGGGAATGGAGTTCTGGGAAATCGAAGAGCACGAAGTGGCCTACAGTTGGCTCCGGGCATCCAAAATGTGGCCCGGGAATGGAGTTCTGGGAAGTCGAAGAGCACGAAGTGGCCTACAGTTGGCTCCGGGCATCCAAAATGTGGCCCGGGAATGGAGTTCGGAGTTCTAGCAGCGCCAAGAGCGATTTTGCGAGGATGTCCCAAGCGATTTGGGCTTCGGCGGCACCGCCCCGGGTCCCGCCCCGACCCCCCTGTGGAGTCATCTGCTGCTCTCTTTTGAGACCACCAGAAACCTATCAGCAAAAGCTGTTAGGTAATAATGGTGGAAGGCTGCTTCCTAAGGATGTCTCAAGCGAAACCTTGATTATTGGAGAATCCTTTGGATTTTCATTTCTTGGGGAATCCGACGGCCCGAGAAAGTCCAGCGAAAAAAATAAATAAATCCACTGGAGTTTCAACAAATCAGGTTTTCGCTTGAGACACCCTCCAAACTTTCACTTTTCCCCTATTGGTTTTTGCCCGATGTCTCAAGCGAAACCTTGATTTTCAATAAGGTTAAATCTACAAATCAAGGTTTCGCCTGAGACGTTTGTCAAAAAGTGATGGTGGAAAATTACTTTTCTGAGGATGTCTCAAGCGAAACCTTGATTATTGGAGAATCCTTTGGATTTTCATTTTCTGGAGGAATCCGACGGCCCGAGAAAGTCCGGCGGAAAAAAACAAGACAAAAAACAAAAACAAACAAATCCGGTGGATTTTCAAAAAAACAGGGTTTCGCTTGAGACACCCTCCAAACTTTCACTTTTCCCCTATTGGTTTTTGCCCGATGTCTCAAGCGAAACCTTGATTTTCAATAAGGTTAAGGTCAAAAACCGAGGTTTCGCCTGAGACATCTGTCAAAACGTGATGGTGGACGGCTACTTTTCTGAGGATAT